AGGAAGAGGACCTTTAATCCACAAGCGGAGGGGAAATCCCATCCAAAATGAGGCGAGACAGGTTTATGTTACAGTTTGAGTTTTGTGTCCACGACAACTCAAAGTACCTTACATTTTAAAAGCAGACAATGAAGATAAAGAAAACAAATAAAAATAAGTTTAACCAAATAAAATAAATAGATTAAAGGCTAAAAAAAATTCAGCTGTAGTAACCCTGTTTCACCTCTTCAAGAAGACCGATTCAGATTTGAGGAGCATCAAACTGAAATGAAGCCTCTCCTGGTTTGGTTCTGACCTCTAAGAAATCAGGTGTGTTTTAAGCTGCATAGTTAATGGTTCTGATGCTGATAAATATGAGAGAAGTGGCCCAAAGAGCCGATGATCACAGGGAGGGCTGAGGGTGATCCCTCCACAGGGATGAATGGAGATACAAGCAGAGGTCGGGGCTGTGGGGCCAGGAAAGGGTTAATAACCCTTTAGTTTTCTACCCTTCCATCATCCATCGCTTATCTGTGGTCGGGTTGGGGGGCAGCATCTTAAGCAGGGAGATGGTTCAACTGGGGAATGATACACTTGAGTTTAGATGTCTTAACTGAGTTTATGCAGCGTCCAATCAGATCTCCAACATGATAATAATGAGTCTGCATACCCCTCAGCATGTAGCTAGTTGCTCCCCTGGTAGTCTCAGCTGACCCTTGACCCTCTATGCTGTGGCCGACCGGACCCCTGACCGGTGCTCACCTGCTCGGGGAAAAGCTCCCTCAGGACCTTCAGGCACTCTCCCACCACCTCCTGGTCCTCCAGCTCGCAGACAGCAGGAACGGCGTCGCCAGAGATGACCGACATCAACACCGCCTGCTTCCCCTGTTGGACACAGTTACATCAGCCAGGGCCTCAAAGGGTCTGAGCTTGGTTTCAGGGATCGGATACCCAGAACCTCACAGGACTGGGTCCTTCATTCTCCTCCCAGTCTAAACACACACATCTGGAGCAGATACTCAGACTCCCATGATGCCTCAGTGACCCTGAGGGGGAGGAGCCGACCCTCTGATCCAGAACCAGTCGGCTCCTCCTTGGTCATGGCTTTAAAAACACACCTGAGGGTCCAGGTCGTAGAAGACGCTGAAAAGGCCTCGCTTTTCCGGTGCCGGCGGGATGTGACCAAAGTAGTCGGCTCCCTGGATCTTGGAGTCCCAGAACCGGGTCGGGAACTGCAGAGCGATCTGCGGGACGTTCGGACTGAGGTTTAGCTGCTGGGCACCGACAGCCTCTGGAGGCGGGCCGGCGGGGATGGGAGGTACCTTTTCGATGATGCCGGCTCCCAAGCTGTGGATGGCCTTCAGCTTCCTCTCAGGAAGGGGGGGGTGGAAGTGGAGGAGGCCCCTCTGGAGCAGGGTCAGCGGGACGGTGACCAGAACCTGGAAGAGAAAGCAGCCCGATGAGGACTGGATCCATGAACAGAACCTGCCCTGAATCAAACGTATTTCTGTCCCCCATATCATCCTGTCCTGGTTTTGGTTCTGATTAACTTTTTCCCTAGTTCTGATGGAGGTTTCTTCTGGTTCTGATGGAGGTTTGTTCCTGGTTCTGGTCCTGATGGAGATCTCTTCCTGGTTCTGCTGGTGTCCTTGGTTATGAACGAGCTGGACCCATTTGGAATACCTGGATCCTGACGGCTTAACTGAACCGGATCAGAGGTGAAATCTTTTGTCATCTGCTGCTTTAGAGATCAACCTGAACCCAGAGCCTTTGGTCCTGTAACCCAGTGGGCCGGTTTCAGAGCCTCTACCTTCTGGGCCGTCCACTGCGACCCGTTTGGTGAGGTCACTTTCACGAGGTCCCCCGAGTAATCCATCGTCAGGACCTGTCCTTTCCTAGAAGACAAAGTTTAGTGAGGAAGAAATCTGTGGACCAGCTGAGCCATCGACAGCTGTACATAAAAACCATCAGTTCAACCACAACGATGTCATCAAACTATGCTCCTGAAATGGACACATTTCTTTTTCCCTCCTCATTTGGATCCTGTCAGGTTCTAAATTTGAGGGAACCTAAAGAGACAACAGGATCATGTGACAGAAGACACTGTCTGGTTTATTTATGGAACAAAAACTGAGAGCAGACCCAAAGCAGCCAGTTTAGAAACTGGTTTCTGGTGGTCTCTCAGTCTCTGCGATGGCTGTGGAGGACTTTTGTCCCTCTCTGCTGCCTGTAGCTATTCAGCTCATGGAGGTTCCTGCACGGCTCTGCTGCCGGGTTTGGATCTCAGTCCTGTTGGGGGGCTGGCTCCAGCTTCAGCTGTGGGACAGACGGCCTCCCGTCTGACTCTGAACACTTTGGGTTCCTGGGGGGTTCCTGGTGGACTTTAAGGTCCTGGTGCTGCAGAACCTGCTCGGATCATCTGGGATGGATGAGCTAGGGGGGACCTTGTTGGACAAACTGGCAGCCATCCTGAATGTCTTCACCTGTGAATAAACTCTCTCTCTAAGGGGTGGTGGAATCCAGATGACTCTTAGGTTATGGCTGATGTCTTTCCTCCTTGACATTGTGTAAACACACTCCTGCTCCAGACTCCTGAATTTTGCTAAATAATTAACTGAACGAGAGGCGTTTTTGCTTTCTTGGTTTATATCGAACTCGTTTAGTTTGAGGACGGGATTCGTTTTCATCGTTCCCGCGCAAGTAAAACCCCAGAAATCAAAAGATGGTGGAGCCCCACTTTCACGTTTTTCTAGAGACGGCCAAAGTAAACTTTATTATAGTGTAATACCGCGTTAGAAGGTAAGGCAGCTGCTAGCTTTATGTTTTAAGCATGCGTCCTCAGCTAAAGACAAACAGGAGAATTGTGTAGCTACCCGCAGATTCATGAGCCACGTTATCCCCGCCGCCGTCCATTCCGTCTCATTTAGAGAGAACCGCTCCGCGTCCACAGCTGCTTCCAGACACTTTTTCGTCCTCGTCTCGTAAGGTCTTCTTAGTTTGCAGCCCGTTGCTATTTTTTATTCCTTAAAGAGCGACCGTCCAGCGTTAAAACCAGTCCCTCCGGTTTATTAGGGGGGTGGGGAGGACCCACAGCATGTTTACCCTGAGCGTCCGGACTGCAAATGAAGCGCGCATGCGCCGGGATTGACGGCCGAAATGATCACGCGGTGCCGCTCCGCCCCTGCAGCACATCACGCCACGTGGCAGATTATGCAAATTAGGCGATGACGCCATTTGGTGACTTCTAGCGACTTTTAGCAGAGCCAATAGCTACTTTCCTTACTGAGGAGTTGGCAATCCAGAGTTTAAAAAATGTATATATAAAAGAATATCAGATCAATTGTCGGTGTTTACAGCAGAAATGGTGGCAGTTATATTAAGCTTGCAATGGGTGGAGGAGATTCGACCAATCAGGGTGGTGGTGTGCACAGATTCAAAAGCAGTAGTGGAAAGTATTAAGGGAGAAGGAAATGATAGAAAAGATTTGGTATTAGAAATTCATCATATTTTATTTAGATTATATAGGGGTGGCATTGATGTTTGGTTTTGTTGGGTGCCAGCACATAAAGGAGTAAAAGGCAATGAAAAGGCAGATCAATTAGCTAAAAGGGCTTTAGAGGGGGAAATAACTATTTCAATTCCTTTTGGGAAAGGGGAAGGGAAATCAATTATTAAAAGTAAAGAAATGGAGGAATGGCAAAAAATATGGAATGAAGATAAGAAAGGAAGAAGATTATATGAAGTGGAAAAGTCAGTTAGAATACAAAGCATTAATGAAAGAAACAGAAGAGAAGAAATAATAATTAGTAGATTAAGAATAGGTCATACATACATGACATACTTTATCTATTAGGGAGGAAAAATAGTGATAAATGTGAGAGATGTGGAGAAAAAGAAAATGTAGAACATATACTGAGGAACTGTAAGTCATATGAATTTGAAAGGGAAGAATTAAAGAGAATAACTAGAAGTATAGGGCATGAATGGAATCTTAAAGGTATATTAGGAAATGAAGGAAACATAACAGATATTCATAAATTAAGGAAAGCACTATTTATTTATCTTAAGAATACAAAATTAAAAAATAGAATATAGTAGATGTGAAGTGATGATGTTACACACTCATGTACAGTAGGTGGCGGTATGCACCTTAAAGTTGACTGTGATCCGCCAAAATAGAAAAGAAGAAGAAGAAGAAGAGGAGTTGGCAACACTGGAATTACCGACTTCCGATCCAAATAAACGCACCATCGGCTTTGAGTGTACATCTAGTTCCAGAGATTTCGTAGTGGAGCTGAATCATATAAGAAGTCTCCCGTCCACATTGCCACTCAACATTGTTTTTGTGAATTGATATATAGAGGTAAGACAGTTTACTTTGTTCAGTTATTTGCCTAAGAAGATGGTGTTTGGATGTTTCATAGCTGTCATGTTAGTCACCGCCAGGCAGCTGTTAGCTAACTCTAAATCTGTCGATTTAGGGTGTTTACGGTTCTCAAATAAGTAATCATCTGTCATTAAAATCTGACGTAGAAAATAAAGCACACAATTTCCGCCAAGTAATTCACTATGAGGTTCAGTATGAAGAGATTAAAGGATTTAAGGCGCTCCTTTCATAACTGTCGCCGCCATCATTCACATGTGATTGTATATAATTTTTTTTTTTGTCTCATTCACTGACAACTCACCATGACACTGGAAACAACAAAAACCCATCCTGCTACTTACTTTTAAATTAATTTAACAGTGTAATAATCCACTGACTGTGATCGAAATCCTTAATTTTAGCAACATTAGTTTTGTTATCGACATATATTATTTTCATTCGCTTTTTCAGTCAGATAGTTTTTTGCGTTTTTGAGGTAAATTTTGAGATTACCCCTGTTTTGCATGTATAGAGTTGTCCATATTGGCAGATGAGTCTTTTGGTTGTTTGTAGGAATATGTAGAGATAATACTTGATTAATTACTAAGATTTGACGAGTTGCTGGGTGTCTAACTGTTCTTTTTGTCTCCTTCAGGTGCTTTGGAAGGCCTGTCTAAGTCCCAGCTATGGTGTGCATTCCTTGCATTGTGATTCCAGTCCTCTTGTGGGTATACAAGAGGTTCCTGGAGCCCATCATTTATCCTTTCATTTCACCATTCATTAACACGTTTTGGACCAAAAAAGCAGTTCAGGATACAAGCACAAGTGATCAGAAAGTCCTAGAAAAAAGTAATGGGACTTCTAAGGTAATTAATTATTTAAATGGACAACTTCAATGTTATATATATATATATACAGTGTTGGGGAGTAACGGATTACATGTAACGACGTTACGTAATTTAATTACAAAAAAAGAGTAACTGTAATTCGTTACAGTTACAATGAGAAAATATGTAATTCAGTTACAGTTACTTCCGAAAATATTAAGAATTACAAATTTAGTTACATTTTTTAAAAAAATTTAAAGAAAAACCTTTGCGAAATATGCAACTCACTGATAGAGGAAGCGTATTGATTTACTAATATTTGACTGTTTGGTGTTGATGCATGACAAACGTTTATCGATGTCTATGACCTAGCCTAGACTAGCCTAGCCTACCTAGCCCACCCAACTGTAGGGTGACCAGACGTCCTCTTTTTCCCGGACATGTCCTACATTTCAGACTAGGGTTGTCAAACGTATCGATACTTAAAAAAGTATAGAAACTAAAATGTTGTATCCCGATACGACTGACTTGTCTCCGATTTATTTATGTATTTATTTACCTTGTTTATGATCATTAACAAGACGTTAGCCTTGAACTGCTAGCTGCGGCCAATAGCTAATAATAACATGCTAAAATTAATCATGGGTCAATACTCATTAAAACCTTAAAGTAATCAAAAAGTAATCAAAAGTAATTAGTTACATTACTTTTTAAAAGTAATCGAAAAAGTTACACTACAATTACATTCTAAACAAGGTAACTTGTAACTGTAACGGATTACATTTTTAAAGTAACTTACCCAACACTGTATATATATATATATATATATAACTCTTTAATTTCCTCTCTTGGACTGATAATTTATGTTATTTTTTATGTTACTGTTAATGCCGGTTCTATGAGAATTTGGAGCATTTGATACAGCATGTTGCTTAATAAATAAGCTCCAGTACCCATTGTTTTATTTTTTTCTACTCATTTGGTATTTTCCTATCAGATAATGCTTTTGTAGGATAACAGAATCCATTATTTGATTAATTCTTGCATTTAGAAAAAAATCTATCTTTTATATGTCTTTCAGCCCGAAAGCAACGGTGTATCTACTGCAAATGGCTCTACTATAACAGCAGATAAGAAGACCGAATGATGCCCATAAATGTTTTTAATGCAGCGAAAGAAGTGTAAATATTCCACTGATATGATATAGATAAAAGCTATGAATTAACTTATCAGCCTTTTTCAAACAAGATGTAATGATAACCTTCAAAAGGTGTTTGAAGTATGTTTTTAATTTTCTGTCATATTGAAATAATTTTTCTCGTCAATATTTTAAGGTATATGATCTTAAGTCCTAATGACACAGACTTTATAAGTCAAGCTTGCAGTTTGAATGAAATTAATAACTTAAAATCTGAACAGTAAATTCTGTAAAGATTTCTATTTTTGTTTGTGTGAAATTATACTGTACTTTAATAAAAGGAATATGTTGATGAGATGATACTTCTGTAGAATGAAAATCCTAATGTCCTAATTGGAAATGTAATAGAATAAAGTTGATGACAGACTTCCATTTGCTGCTTGTTTATTAATATAGCTGGGAATTTATTTTTTTAAAACCTCTTTAAGGGGATTGTGTTTATCTCTATATCACCTGTATTGTTGAACAAGTCTGATGTGGGCGTCCTCTCCTGGTGCGTTAAGGTACATCGGAAGTGAGTCGAATTTTGGTTTGGAAGTTTGGAGTTGGAAATGACATATCCAAATTGGTCAACCCTCATATCAGAAGCAGAAATCTGATAAAATCCACGCCCGTGTTGGTTTGGTTTTTTTTAACTGCGTTTTCTGAGATATTACACCCAACGACAAAAATGAACAAAAACATCGGAGACGGCAGCTGGACAGTGCTCTGTCGGTTCCTCAGTGAGGAATAGTAGACATATTTTTAATGTTATTTTTATTGGACTCCGTATTTATCGCAACTAATTCTGAACATACAATTTTACAGTAAAAAGACGACTCTTAAATGTTACGTACGTCGTCAACGCCCACATGTCGTCACTACGCAAGAGCTATCTACGTGGAAAACATGGTGGAGATGAGTATGTAGACTGAACTTAGCTGACTGAATTACACCTCGATTTGAAGTATTTGCTCCTTTTTGCCTGAAGCTTTGTACATAGTTTAGACAAAACAAACACCTAATGGGAAGAGATAATAAATAGTCGCTCATTTTTGCATTTAGGAGCCAACAAAAACTAAGGAAACAGCGAGAATCATTTATGACAGGTAAGCCAAGCGATCAGCTGATAGCAAACAAGCCATGAACGTTAGCTGCTTTCTGGACAGTACTTTCACTAACAACCGTTTAGCTGGAAATGTTTGTAAATCTGACTTTACTTTGTTAATGACTCCACATCATTCTCGTTAAGACAGTTTGCTGCAAAGTGAACTCGGGAACAGTGTAGTTCCATCCTTTGAAACCAATGTTAGCTAGCTAACGTCATCCAAGTTAGTTGACAATTCATTACTCTGCAGATTGCATAATATATAAGGACACACCGTAATGGTAAACATAAAAGCATACTAAAGAACACGATGCATGTAGCTCCCTACTAGCTCCACAGCTCTATCTTTAATGTACTGTTTGAAAAGGGTACGTAACAACCTTTTGCTAACATTTTCCAAGTGTTTCTCCCGTGTAACAGATAGTTTAATTGGAACTTGCTGCACCTGTATGCAAAAGGAGTGCCATTTAAAGAAAATAGAATACATCCTGGTCATTCAATCCATATCATATCAACGAATGAACAGTGATCAGCCTTATTGTAACAACTGACAGATCTTCTCAAAGCTTTCTTACTACTCAGCCGGATAAAATAGTTAGGATACACAGCTAGTGAATGTCCTGTTCTTAAAAAAGGGCATGAAAAGGTGTAAGTGGCAGACTGTCATCACATTTTCACAGGTCTTTGTTTGGGGGATATACATCTGATTGTCACCGTTCAGAAGTTATCAATAATATTTTGATGATTATGAGTTCATGGTGACTTTACCTTTAGTTTCCCCAGTTCTCCATTCAGTTGAACATCTATGGCAAGCTCTGCACAAACAAATTTGATCCATAAAAATTTGACCCACATTCATACTTGGAGGACTTCAAGAGTGTCTTCACCGCAGAATACCTGCAAGGGTTTCACAGAGTCCATACTTTGATGTTTCAGGAAAATAGTAAAACTGAACTTAGCTTAATGGTCATGAAGTTATGATTAATTAATGCATATGTATCAATGCTTTTTATTACGCGATAAACTAATTTAACAGGTATGTTCTTAAAACCCACCAAGACAAGATTGCCACTATCAAGACATATTAGAATTTAGGAGCATGTGGAAAAAAAGTGGTATCCATACTTAAAGTGACGTCCTTACTGAGCCTTGTTAAGTGAATTAATTAACTGATTAACTGTGCAGCATGGTCACTAATTGTGTGCAAATACTCCAAAGATTAATGCTTCTGCTTTGCCCCAGAATTTGACATATGACTGGTGAATAAGAAGTAAAGAGTGGCAGATCTGGCTGAAAGCAGCCAGCAGCGATGGGAGCCAACACCAGCCAGGTCAGTGAGCTGTCTGATAACTCCAGCCTCAGGTCACTGGTGGGCACCGAGTCCATATCAGAGAATGACCCCTTCTGGAATCAGCTCATCTCTTTCACATTTATCAGCCCAACCAGCAGGTAAGCGCACACATTCTTTTGGTGATCAGGTAACGTCTGAACATGTTTTAGCTTTTTTTTTTTACCATTCCCATGCATTAAGAGGTCAAACGAGAGCAATCATTTTCACCCTGGATGAAATATTTTTGTGTTTAGCCAGACCATCCCCAAGCCTCCTTTTATTTTATATCACTGACAACAGAACTGCCTCCTAGTCTGAGTTATATTAAATCATATGACAAACGTCAGGTCACAGTGACATAACTAACCAATTTTGAGATTATGATATCTGTTGATGCTCTTCACATTCCTTGTGAGTCTAAAAAACACAGATAGTGCACTCTTGAGCTACTTGTCTGAACAGTTCTTTCATATTTAGGACAAATATTCTCTAAAATCTGCTCAGATGTTTAAACATGCCACACCAAGTGGCGGTTTTCACCCTGACTAGCGAAAGCACAAGACTTTGAAGTTTCCCATCCAGGATGTAATATTAAACTGTAAAGAGGATGTTTGCAGAGCTCAGCAGGGTAATGGTTTAACAGGGTCATTGTCCTGCTCACAAGAGCATAGTTGACTTTTAATGTTCAGGCATTTTTTCAAGACTGTTTATTATTCCAGACATGTCACTCCCTCTTGGAAGTTGTCGTTATATATTAATCCAGGAGAAGGGTTTTATTCATACGAGTACTTGCAAAAAATTATATTATAAATATATATATATATATTATAAATATCAACTTCAATAGAGACCAGTCCAATTTATCATCTTGTTTATTTGATCAATTCACAGTAAGTTTTAGAGTTAAGGAAACCAACAGTTGGCCTCACGCAGAATCTTGAATTCAGGCCCTCGTTCATACCTGATTGCGCAGATAATTTTTTAAGTTAAGGTTTAAATGTTATGTGTGCAGTCTTGCCTGGTAACAGGTTGCAGACACAAGCTCATTTATTCTATTTTAACATGTATGTATTGGTTTTATTATTCTTTTTCATCAATGGTTGTTGTTGTGTTCTACAGCGGAGAGTCCAAGTTACTGGAAGAGGCTGTTATTCCCTTGGCCAAGAAACTCAGTATGTTGGCTGTTTGCCTCCATTTTATTTGTTTTTACCGAACAGTATATAAGCTTTTTACATATTTTTATTAACTATATTATTACCAGTATACGTACCAGTATAAGATTTTATTACATAGTTTCATTGAATATATTAATACTAGTAAATTAGCATTTTACATACTGTATTTTTATTAATTATATTATGAGTGTTCTCATGTTCTCTTTGTTCCTGATATGTTGGTGGAAATGTAATTGTCTTTGGTGTTTGTTTTTGTTTTTCAAGTTGAAAATAATCCCAGAACGGGGAATTTTGGTGCCCTTGTAAAAGTTTTTCTGGGAAGAACAAAAGAGCTGAAAATCTCGACAGAATGCCAAGAGTGAGTATGAGAACGATGATGACGGACTCTGCACACCATTTATTCTTTGACTACATTAAGACAGTTTTTTTTTTGTCTCAATATCTAAATGTCGACCTCTTCCTATCCTGGTCTGCTTGATTCCAGCGAAATTACAGCTGCGCTTTAATTAGATCGTATTTGCAGCTCTATTTGCATTTTCAGCAGCACAGAAAACGTTGTAGGATTTTTGGCCAAGATGTCTTTATTAAATAAATAATGCTTCACCCTGCCGCATGCTCATTGTGTGTCTTTTGTTTGTTTCTCTTCCACAGTCAGTTGTTCATCTGGCAGGCTCACAATGCTCTCCTCATGATTCGCTGCCTCCTCAAGGTGTTCATCAGAGAGATGAGTGAAGAAGAGCTGCACCAGCAGTTCTCTTACCAGGAGAGGGCACCAGGCTACTGTGGAGGTAAGCTGCCTGTCAGTGAGACACTTGTGTTTGGTTGTAGATAAATGTAATCATATTTATTTATTTATTAGCAGAGACGGAGAGTGAGGACCTCCTCGAGGAGCTATTGTCCAACCTTGTACATCTGATTGTTGAAGTTCCCCTGCTGTAAGTACCCCCGTCTCTTATGAGTGTGTATGAATGAGTGTGAGGAGAGGGGATATTGAAGCATCATGGTCTGTATTGAAAACACTAAACACTAATTTAATAGGAAAGTAGTTGTTCAAAATGACTTTGTCAATGAACATTTCTCCTGTAAATGTTTTTTTATGTGTCTCTACGTTTTGTGCTACCTTTGCTTATTGTCACACTTGGTTTCCTGGCAAGACTAGATCAAATCCTTGAAAAAGCAAGTCAGGCAGCTTGACTAACTGTGGAACAAAACAAGAAGAAGGAAATAATCTGAGAGCTGGAGAAAATTAAAAAATGATGTTCATTTAGTAAAAAGGGACAAAAAAGCTTGAAATTAAAATTTAGAAAAATGTCCAATGAGTAGGAGAGAAGAGAACATAACATTTGAAAAATAAACTCCCACTGGGTGGTACGCACACAAACACTGTGTGAATTAATGAGTAAATATTTCTGTGGGTGGGTGGCTCATCAATGGGTGAATTATTTGACTGACAGCCTTTCGGAGAGGCAAAGAGATATCTCCTCACTCAGGCTTGTTCACACAAACTGGCCGTCTTTTGCTCTTCCCTCTGTACAGATTTGTCCTGTTTTGCCATGACTGCTGTGTGTCAGTTTTGGCATTTGTCTGCTTTCTATCAATCTCCTCTGCCTACTTTCCCTCCCATCGTCCTTTTTCTCGTCCCAATTTTTTCAGCTGTGTCCAGACATCAAACCCTGGCTCTTGTCTAAATGTATTCAGCATTCCAACATTATTCATTGTTTCAAGCTTAAAGACCCCTCTGTTTTTCTTCCCTTCACCACTTTGTGGCTGTCGGCCCATTTCCTCTGTACGTGCTCCTGGTTTGGGAGTCTGGCCATTCTTTTGGTAGACTCATGCACCTTCTTTGGCTTTGTTTTATTAAATAGATTGATGGCTATTTTGTCCAGTTGCAGATAAAAAGCTGGAACATTTTCGGGTAATGGCATGGTAATAATTATTGCCTGATAAATTTCTGAACATATTCTAATAACCTGTTAATTGGTAAACATTTTAAATATTGGTTGAAGGTTAAACCATCAGATGCTATCTAATCAATGGGGAATTGACTCTTATATTTTCTGTTTTCGTTAATTAAATCTCAAGACAAATGTCTGTGAGCATTTTGTCCAAACCTTGTGTGAATAAGCAAACCTAAACATAACTTCACAAAAGAACACAATTTATAATGCAAATGGAAAAAATCAGATTATATTATATTAATATATATTTTTTAGATAATCTTTAATTTATTTTTGTTGTAGTGTGATTCTTCTTTTCTCTCCCTCTGGAATACATCATCTTTTGACTTGCCTTGCTCTGTTTAACATTTTTACTAGTTCATGATAATTGTTTTATGTTCCTCTCTTTTGTCCTACATCAGGTCTCATTCCCTCATTTTTCAGTGTGGAACATAACTGTGTTCAAGTTTAAGGAGAGTAATCGTGCCACCGTCTTTTATAGATATCAACCCCTTCTGAATTATCTGTTCCTGCAGAGACATCACCTACAGCATCCTGTTTGAAGCTGTGACCACGTTACTGGTATTCTTCTCCTATCAACTCTTCCACAAAGACATTCTTCGGGATGGATTAATTTATCAGCACATCCTAAAGGGACGATGGTGAGAAAGTACATACACTGCTTTGGAGATTGCCATTGATTTTATGCTGAAATGAAAACAAGTTATCAGATATGTAAAGATTCTCTGATGCCCTGGGAAGTGGGTCATCAAAAATCTTCCTGTGACATTTTTTTTTTCTTTCAATGGCGTGTCAGATCAGTTTGCATATTCTCCTGTCGGTTATGATGTCATCGGAACGACACCAATACATTTTTGTGTGCTTTAAGACAAGCTTATCGTGCTCCTCACAGTCTCTCCATGTGCCTGTCAGTTTGTTCTAAAAGGAAATGGACATCAACTCAACAAACAACAATCTGTGTCCTCTCTTATCTTTCGGTCTCTGATCATGTAGTGTCTGCTTGCAAATTAGCAAGTTCACGATAAGAACCTTAAGAGTAAAACTTGTGTGATATGCTGATGAAGTCAAATAAATTATTAGTTTTCTTGATCGTGCTGTGTAATGTGTTGATTAAATAAGTTGATGCATGTCGACCAAGAATCAGATCTTCGCTATATTAACACACACAATTTTATGCCGGAGATTTTCTTTATGTCAAACGGGAAATGTAGGAATGCATTGGAAATTCATTGCACCGTTAGGACCCTATGCCAGCTGCTAATCAATGTGGAGCTTTGTATCCTTTGATTGAAGTTAGCATAAATCCCAATCCACATTTCCTGAGACTCATCGGCTGCATTGAGGTGAAACTCAGCAGAAACTTTAGAAGTCGCTTTCACTCTTCATAATGCTGTTCTAATAGAAATGCCCTGCTTGTATTTTTTTCTTGTTTTAAAAAAACAAACTTTTTTTTCTCCTTCCCATAGTCTGTGTTTGACCAGTCGATTAGTGAAGACCCTGCTCTACAACTTCATCCGGCAGGAGAAGTGCCCTCCACCTGCAACTCACATTTTTGAGCCCAAAGCTGAAGGTGGCCTGCTTTATGGTCTGGCATCCGGGGTGGCAAGTACGAACAAACACATGCACTCACAGAAAGCAAAGAAAAACAGCTATGAAGCAGAAAGAAAATGTAAATCAGTCACTTATTTACTGACAGGCCAGTTGCTTCTTAGGAATAGAAGTAGTTTGAATTAGTTTTTATCAGTTATCAAACAAAGTCTTGGTTTGACGAATTTTTTAAAAGAATTGCTGGTTTTATATGTTATTTAAACAATTTCAACATTGTGATACAACATGAGAGTTCGTTATTGCATTGGATGTTGGCAGTCAATGTTTTCTCCAAATGTAATGCAGTTTCATCTAAAAACATTTGCACAATAATTCCCTTGTCACAATAATGGACACAGTGTACTCTTCACCAGCAGCCTACTAAAAAATAACACATTGATTTTTCTTTTTTTAAATAATGTTTTCAGACATAAAACTATAAGATATCTTAAAAATATCAACCACGTCCATTCTATCATGATAAAACCATTCTATCAGTTAAAACCTATTCAAAAATGAAAAGTCCAGCCTTACTGAGAGTCAGAGACATTTGTCTGGACACAAATGGCAAGTCGGACATTAACAGAGCTTGTTGTACATTTTAGAATTGGTAAAGTGCTCTGTTAGCCCGTGTTTGTGGGTGCTGAATACATGTTTGTTTGAGTGTGAGAATAGGGCAGGGTTTCCCCCACAGATAAATGCTCTTTGTTGGTTGTTGGTGGCAGATTCCTATCAGTGAGCAATCACCATTGAGCCCAGCCTGTCTGTCTGTGGCCAGTGATCGGTTTGATGAGTTATGGTGCCCTGTCCTGTTCTGTAATCCCCTAGAGCCTGTCTGTCTGCAGCCGCCTCCCTTATACACACACACACAGACCAACAAAGACACAAGCTCTCTCATACTTGGAGCTCAGAAACAACACTTGTTTTCTTTCTCTGTCTCTCTTTCTCCAACGCATATAGACATATAGGATTGGCAGAATGCACAGCCAATGGGTGTTGTACCGTAGTAAAAGCAAATACCAGGGGAATTACTTAAGCTCTGCAGCAGATGGTCAACTGAAATGTAGGGGACCATGAAACATGTTAGAACTACTTCTTTAGTACCTATGCCAAATCCAATGGCAACCCATTTGATAACCATGGAGACAATATTCTTAAAACCACAAGAACAACTTTGCATGGATCTCAAACACATTTCTGATCAGTCTTTAACAAACTCCGTCTCCCACATTTCTCTAGAAACTCCGTGTTTTTATTCATTTCAACATTTACAATCACAGTGGAAAATGGGTGTGTATACAATTAACGTTGGTCAGGCCTTACTGGGCATTTCTGTCATGTCTCAGAATATTTTGATGTATTTTTTATAGCTTCTTTATTGAGTAACTATCCAACTATCTGTTGGATGTGAATATGGCATACATTTATGTTTGAAGCCCTTGGATTGGGTTTGGATAAAAGCCTTTAGAGAATATTTTTTATTTTTGTTCGAAGAGTGTGTTTGTTTATCGTCTGCAAAGCATGAGTTTCGCCACTCAAATTTTTGGATGATCATCAGCTCTCTGGCATAAGTGTATATGTGTGTGTGTGTGTTATTGCGCATGCTTATCCAAAGCTTTGGCATAAAGCTCTGATGTTCCGTTTAGTTGACTGTTATGCAAGTGCAGAATTAGTACATTGTGTCTGTCTCTGTTCACAAGCCATTCTTGCTATCAGCAGCGACTCTGTGCAGTTTTTTCCAGTCCCTCTTGAAAGAACCGCTGTTTGCGTTTTCATGTTTGCCGTGTTTTTTTGATGACTTCACCAGAGAATACGTATTCAATAAATATTAGCAGGTTCTTGTCTGCTTCATCTAAAGTAAGAATAAGAACTGCTTCAGCACAGGCAAATTGAATAGATGTTGCTCCAGTCATCTATTTATTGTTCAGATCACAACTGAATCTTTAAATGTCTCACTGAAATGTGTTTGTGTGCGTGTGTGTGTGTGTGTGAGAGAGAGAGAGAGTTCGTTTGATGATGTGACATTTGATAAGAGGTTGGGGGGCAGGTGAGTCGATCTCATCAAGCAAGCTCCAGTAGAAACGGCTTGTTTGATGTTTTTGTTTCTATGGGGCCATTTGCTTTGTTTCAGTGGAGAATTTGTGTTGGCAGCGGGCATTATGTAAGATTTTAATTTGGGCATCATGTTCCTCTGTGCTAAAGCCATGCCTTTTTTATAACCATGAATTGCTCCTTTTATTTGGTCTGAGTGGATGGAATTAAATATTTCTTGTATGTACATACCCTGAAGAGACTTGTAAAGCCGTGTGGACTGTGTGTCGTACATTGGGAGTCCTTGGGTGCCCAAAAACTCTGGAGTACAGTGTACCAGCCACTGTATCAGCATGTGACATTCTCTTTTACACACTTTCCTCTTCCTCCTCATCGTGTCCTCCTCTTCTTTTTCCACCGGGCAGCTGGCCAGGGGCCAAAGCAGCTGAAGCAGTGTAGCATTATTGGGTTTATTTGGTGGGCAGACAGGAGAGGGAACCAAGCCAGATGGATAACAAACGACACCCACAAAGGTAAAATAGAGCTCTGTGTGTGTGTGTGAGGGTGCAGGAAATGTGCCTGCCAGACAGGGCTCCCTGACACCGTAGGGCCAGTCACTGTGGTGCCAGTGATTTGAGTTCCCGATACATCTTGTTTTTTCTCGCATTTGTTTCTGACCAGCAGAAAGAAGACAATGATTATCAAGTTATTTCAGAGAAATGATCTGCAAATGATGCCAGTTCACTCCAGGCTTTGTGTGTGTGTGCTCTCTTTTTTCAAAGCACTTTGTCCATGTGGAGACAGACTTCGATAAAATGTGTTTAGTTTGTCCCAATCATAAGTTCATCGTTCATTTTTCTTCATACTTTAAAAAGAAAACGGCAGTAGGATGTGTCATGTTCTCCTTTAATGTTTGTAATGCAGTAGGATGCTTGTGAGTGTGGAGGCTATCAGCCATTTAATGCTGGAACTAATCTCCCATATCATTGCTTCAACTTTAATGAGTTAATAAACGTGTCACAGCAGGGACCTGGGCAGCTCGTAAGCATTAAGTTTCCATTAAGCAGAAAATGTGTAAATTCACCCACAAACATGTTCTGCTGCTCCAGCTTTCACCTCTAGATGGCAACAAATCCACTTGGCTTCTCTTTAGATTCAGATCGGTGGGGACCTGCAACACACTCCGACTGCCTCTAACTAGTGCTTGGTCGTGCATTCTGTGTGGCCAGACGTTCAGGAGCCACAGACTGTCATTTGTGTACCTTGGTGTTCATGTTTCTCGCGCTTCCTGTGATGCTTGAAAGCTCAAGCACTTCAGTTGCTCTGTAAGAAATTCTCTCATCTGTCTCCCGTCCTTCCCACACAAAAAACTTAACCGACTCCATTTGACTCGCGCTTCCAGTTTCTCTTTGTACTGTGGCGCCGTCTATGTTGTTTCAAATTTCAGGTGCTGCAAAGCATTGTGTGTGACTCTATTGTGTTCCATTTGGCAGTGATTACATCAGTTGGAGAGCACATTCTTGTTTGCAGTTAATTTTCCAGTGAGTTGTTAATACGCGGTAAAGCTTAAAAGCTGTCACTTTAGCTCATCCCAAAGAGCTCTCTATGAAAAGGACAATACAATCTAACCGCTCACATCCCGCTGTGCAAACCCATTCTGCCAAAATATAGGCAGTTTGTGGCTAAGTACAAAGTAATGCAGGTCTTTCAGGCTCAAGACACAAAAAGCAGAGCCAAACAAAAGTATCAAATTTCTATTTGTCAGTTGGGAAGAAACATGATTCGAGATAAATTATTATGTTGCTTCATAACAGTTAGATGTGTGAAACTGTTACACGCACATTCAATAGATAATCATTTAGGAAATGAGGATACAGTTTTGCCAAAAAGAATAATAATGGTTATACCATTGGTGCTCAGTGCAATGTAGGTGAGAAGGCTAAAAGGTTCATTTTATCACACCGAAGCAGTCAATGCCCAGGTTTTACTCTGCTTCACCACAGCTCCATAAAACAAATGAAACATCAGATGCGTGGAGATTAAATTCGGTCTTGTCTGAGCCCGCACCTGAAGTTAATCTTGGCTGTATCTGCATGCTCATGAAATGTTTCCACTGCGCATCCCTCACATACTCTGTCCACAATTATTCAATCCTTTTTCACATATCACATGAATGGAGTTTTATCTTGTAACTTGTTGCCATAGTGCATTAAAATAGCAACTGCATACTGATGAGAAGTCTACTCAAAGTACATCAAAGCCAGCTACTTATCTGGTCATTGATATGCAAGTGATGTTAATTATGAAGCCAATTGTGAGAAAATACATTTTGATCTTTTTTTTTTTTCTAACTGTAGTTGATCACCTGTCATTTTAAAATCTGCATGCAAGCCCACTCTGAACCATTTCAGTGCATTAATCTTTTAAGCAAAAAAGCTGTGAGAGAGCGCTCCATTTTAGTCCTTTAGAGTGTCTAGTTCGAGGACCGAAATGCCACAAGAGCTGTCCTCTGGACGTGCCGTGACAAGCCAAGTCAGTGACGTTCTAGTTAGGTGCCTGAATTAAACTGAGGTGTCAGCATCACATTTCTCACGGCTGGCTTCTCAGGTACCAGCACCATCTTATCAGTATCCAGATCAGTCGCTGGCTTCAGCCAGTATAAAGCTTCCACTGACTTCTCAGTGCTGTTTGTTTTTGCTGCTTGACTACATGAAAATATACTGTCTTTACAGACTGTTTGTGTACCTTTTACAATCAGTCAGAAACAGTCTTTTCGGTTAGCACTGCAACTGATAATTACAACCGCAAGTCTTTACCAAATACTTTATGAAAAAAAAGGTTTTAAGGATATGTGAAAGGCTAAACCATTTAAAAAAGCTTGAATCTTTTTTTCTAATAAAAGGCCCTGGGGATTTCTTTTGTCATTAATTATTAATTAATATCACAGTTATTTATTATTGTGTATTTTTCATCTTTGTGATACTTGTGTGTCCCTCTCTACGCAGGCGGACTTTGGAGTGTCTTCACATTGGGTGGAGTGGGCAGTAAAGCTGGGATAGACCAGGAACACAACCCCTTACCTTTATCCAGCCAGAGCCTTCTGTTACTGCTGGTGCTGGCCAATCTGACAGATGGGCCCGATTGGCCCAATCCTTACCGCCAGGCTATCACTTGCTTCAGAAACACACAAGGTGAATAATGAACACAAGAAGTACTGTTGTATTCCTATTGCTTCCTTCGCACACATCTGCAACAGTTTTGTCTATATTTCTAATATGTGCCAGAGGACAGCGAAGGCCAGTGTTAGGAATAACTGATAATATTTACCCTTCTTTATGTAGACACATCGTCCCTGCCTGCGGAGCACCCTCACACTTTCCAGATCAATTTCAACAGTCTGTACACGGCTCTGTGTGAACAGCAGCGCTCTGACCAAGCCACGCTACTACTGTACACCCTGCTGCACCAGAATGCCAACATGAGGACATACATGCTGTCAAGAACTGACATGGACAATCTGGTGGGTGAGAGCAGCATGAAGTGACACTGGTCTAAGTATTCTTGTGGCAGCATTACATGTCAAATTTACAGCAACGGGAAGCAAAAATGGCCATCAATCTTTGTGTGAGAGGGCTATGATTACTAAAGCTCATTATGCAATCCCCCAAATACATGGGCACACCGTGAAGTTGTTTGATCGAGGACAAACGTCACAGTTCAGTAAACAGACCAAGATGTTTTCCGCGGCAGCTGGTGCTTTTTTGTGTGGGACATGTGGGACAGTGCCAGTTGTTCCTTATTGCAGAATGTATATGTATAAAGGCCATTCTGAATACGCATTGCTATCCATGCTTTGGCTCTAGTCTGAGCTGCATATCTTTTGGACACCGGTATTGTTGGCTCATCGCTTTTTCCATTTGCCACAGACTTATATTTCCATATATGGAATCAATACAACATAACAAAAAAAAACAACAACTTTGGAATGTCGATAGATATATTAACATTCCGAGTAGAGATATCTGTTGTGTCTTGTGATGGCTTTTGTGGTGAATTATCCTATTATGATTAAATGTAACTGAACTTCATACTTTTGATAATCAGACTAACAAGAAAAGTATTTAATTAGTCAAATATGAGTTATACTTACATTTATAGTGAGCTCTTTCTCCTGCTTTCTCACTCCTCCTCTCAGGTGATGCCCATCCTTGAAATCCTTTACCATGTAGAGGAAAGAAACTCTCATCATGTCTACATGGCCCTCATTATTCTCCTCATCCTTACAGAGGATGATGCCTTCAACCGATCCATCCATGAGGTGGTAGGTAACGCACTTTTTATAAAACATATCACATCTTGGCACCTGTCAGGGAAAGTGTTCATTATTTACAGTCACTGAGATTGCAGTCAATCACCCCTGACATTTTTGAGCAGGAATGTGTCATTTCTGTCCATCTTTCTCACTCACAGGTCTTGAAGAACATCACATGGTACACAGAGAGGTCGTTGACAGAGATTTCTCTTGGCAGTTTGCTCATCCTGGTGGTCATCCGCACCATCCAGTTCAACATGACACGGACAAGAGTAAAATCAACACACAGTTCATATACCAAGTTTGATTAGATTCATCAGTAGCAGCCCCATAGAATGTTTATTATTGTTTGCTTGTTTGATGTGTATCCTCAGGATAAGTACCTACACACCAACTGTCTGGCCGCGCTTGCCAACATGTCAGCCCAGTTTCGATGTCTCCACCAGTATGCTGCCCAGCGCATCATCAGGTGAGGACACGCTGGGGATAAAAAGGACAAAGCAGAACAGAAAGTGACCAAATTGTTGTGCTCTGTCTCTTTGACGTACAAACATGACCTGAATTAGAATCAGAACTTTTTTTTTTACTCTGACTGAGGTGCATAAACACAGTTATCAGATAAACTTCATTTCAGAAATTTCCAAAGGAGCAAATGAATAAACAGGAAAGTGTATTTTTAGTCTGATTCGTTGAATTTTACCTGATGTATCACACCAATTTGTCACATGGATAGAAAACACAGAGCAGTCCCACTTTCCGTTGTAGCAGCGCCCTCTTTAATCCATTTGAACACGTTAGGTATCAAATTAGATAACTAAAATCATACATAAGTATCCCGGTTTTGGCAAAATCCTTACTGCTGGCAATATAGCCCTTTTTATGGTCACATCACTCTTCAAGCCCAACTGTTAAGCAGTAGTGTGTTTTACTGTAAACACCCTGATTTTTCACTTCATAATTCATGTTGAATATGATAAACAAATTAGTCATTGTAGTTACCTGACAGAGAACCCAAAGTGTTCATGGAGCTGCATTTATGTGTGCATGTGTGTGTGAAGAAGAACATTACGTAACATGAAAGAAATTGTGGGGAAAGGGTTTGGTTCTTAAGGAGACGGAAGAAGAGGATACACACACATATACATACACCCCCACACAAAGCGACATCAAGTCATTCATGTGTTTGTTAACTCCAGGCGAACAGGAAGGAATGTTTCCTTCCCTGAAGACGTGCGCATTTTCACGCACATTCAAGGATCCTCTTATCTCACAGCCTGTGTCTGTCTTTATATCTGTGTCTCTAGTTTTTTGAGTCGCAGAAGAACAGTGTGTCAATGTGAACAGGAGGCCAGGAGTGATGCGGCCCAACTGACTCCATGTCTGATGATAATGATAATGATGATGACTGTGATGTCTTGGGCTGGGCTAAACTCGCTGGCTGGCTGCAAGATAAAGGGAATTTCCTGCCAGGAATTTCCAAATGCCGGCCAGGCTGCACTGAACTCTGCTCCATAATTGACTCTCAGAGAGAATTGTAGCTGCTGCTGTTTATTTACAGGCAGCAGTGGGTTGATTTACTGTCCCCACCATGACCACACATCTTCCTTATTATTTTATGTCTATACTTGCCGTCCAACAACATGCTGTGTCTATCGCATTGCAACTGCCTCGCTGTCAAAGCTCATTCACCCTCAAGTCTGTAGACTCAGCAGACACAATGCAGATCACCATAGGTTAGTGGCTAATGATTGTGTTTTCCATTAGTCTGCCCATTATTTTAGAATATTAATCAGTCCATTGTTTAGTACCCTGACCTGATGGTTGTTAGCATTTTGTAGCCCCAGAGTTTTCAGTTTACATTCTCTTTAGTGAGTGCAGATCAAGTGTTTTTTGCATGTATATCAAATGACAAATTCATTAAATTATTCTTCACTAACTCAGTAGTTTAAATGATCTACTTTTTAAATTGAATTTTTAGTCCAGGTAGCTCTTTCTCAGGGTGATAGTTCTATTTATCTCTTAAAATTTACTGTATTCAAAGAAATGTTTTCCCTTTCCCCTCTAACTACTTATGTTACTTCAGAATTTTGGTTGGTTTTTATATATTTGAAGTCCACCTTCCAAAAGTTCGGGTCTCCTGTCATAAATCAATAAAAACAGGTGCTCATTCTTGGTTTGAGCCACATATGACTACTCCCCAATTTGGCTTCATACAAATCTGGTAAAAGTCTTCTGTGTTGGAAAATATTTTTTGTGGATTGTTCAAACCTTATGTATCTTTTATATAGATATAAAAGGAATATTTTGGGAAGTGAAAATTAAATTCAAGAGTGTCATAGTGTATGTCTTGTAAAAAGGTCAAAATATTGGTAAACAGCTCAAGTGTCTCCGGGAATAAATGCGTCCACTAAAATGAATTGAAACAAACTGTTGCAAATGTTGGTGCTTTCAGTGAGAAGGAGAGATGAAAGAGTGATGGAAACATGATTTGTTGCATTCACCATGGTGCCATCTGCTTTAAGTTTATCATCTAAGCCCTGCTGTAACTCCCTGTCCACCCATCTGTACTACCAATAAGGCCCAAAGGATTTATTAAAAGACATCTGCATCAATCCTGGGTAACAGCCAGTCAGTGAGCCTTTACTGTACTGTATTTGCCATCTTATATAATAGTAGGACATATGTGAAGTAGTCACATTGTAACAGCAAAACTTCGGTTTTTAGTCTGCATCTGCAATAAAATGGTATCACCTATATAATGCCAGATATTATAATCTTAGAACATGTCGGCTGTTTTTTAAGCGTCAGATTACTTTAAAATGGATACAAAGTTTTTGAGAAAAAAATGTGCCAAGCTTTTAAAATTTCAGCTCATGCATATAAAATTTTCAGCCTCAGTTTTCCAAAGAGTGATGTAAAATTAAACGGAATGCGTCTGCACAAGAATACTCTCTAGTCAGGTGTACACAGGGCAGGTTCACTTCTTTTGTGTGTCTGTTTGAACCATGTATGTCATTACTTAAGTTTCAGAGCAGATTTTAGGATCATGCCAGGGCTGTGGAAGTCCTCTGTACCACTGTTTTCAGGTCCATGTCCATCACTGCCTCATTATAAATGACAGATTGGACAGGCCTGCGGGTCGCACTGTGTATTGTGAGCTAACGTCCCAGGTGGTGCTTGGTTGGTGGTCTCTCATTTGAAAGAAGTAAAAAATGAAAACATAGAACAACAGTTCGCTGAGTAGTCGAGGCCGATAGGGCCTTTGACATTTGATCTGAAGATGACAGGCAGACTCCCACAGAGCTGCTCTCATACCTTTAGATGAAGCCTACTACACGCTTTTTTTGTGTGTTAGCATAAGTGTGTGTGTCCCAACTGCTGATAGATTGACATGTATAGCTGGAAGGGCTTATCAGAGGTCTCTGTGTACCTGAGCTCCTCTGACCCCTTGCGCCGATTTCAGTTTTCAGTTTTATTTTACTTGATTGACCCACAAATCAAACAAAGATCCTTTCCCTCTGGGCAAACTAAAGAGAGTATCAGGAAGGTGCTTTTAAGCAAATCTTTTTTTTCTTAAAATACGCCTCTTTTCAGGTGTCTGACGTGACGGAACATGTGAGTCAGTCTGCTGTGACGTGAATGCTGCATTAATGGTGATGTGTGCACTGACCCACTCTGTAGCCACAAACCAAGGTCACACACGCAGACATGCTTGATCTCTGTGGCTATAGTGCAGTATCACAGGCACAGTAAAACAATTTTGATGAAAAACTGGAGCACACACTTGTACAAATACTGGAGGAAACGCTCTCGTAAAAGAGGGAGCTGCAATCAGTATTTGGCATCAATGACCCAAACTCTGTCGTACTTTAACTCATGACTTTTGAAATGATCTCAATCGTGTTTCAAATTAGTTTGTTCTTCCAAGATTCATCAGTATTTTTTTCTTAATAGCTTCATTCAGAAATGATAATAGGTCAAACTTTAAAGGTAATCTCTCTTAAATGTTCTTTTCTTTATTCGATTGAGATTAATTTATTAAAGGTCCCCTTTCAATATTCTTGGCAGATTAAAGACAAGAAATGCTGTATGCTGTAATTATTCTTCAGACAGTGAAGTAGTGTCACACCTGGCCATTTTGCTTTTCTTCTCTGTATCCTCTTGATTTTCTGTGGATTTGTTTTTTTTTGTTTTTCAGTCAAAAACTTTTTTTTTTAAGAGACTTTTCCATGTTGGTATGGATCTAGTCACTCTTAAGGGATTCCTGCTGGTACCTTTGGGCTCTTTTTCCACATCTGTTATGATGAACAAGCACACCGACAAGAGAGTTGTTTACATATGAGACCCCGAACCCATATGAGCTGAATAGAAGATGTCACAGATGTAGGGGAAGAACAAAACACAAAGATAGGAAGAGAAAGTCTAAACAGTTTCTTTCCTTGATTGTCTTCAGGAATGCAAAATCACTGTCCCATCTCCTTTATGCCAGGCTATCAGACAGTATGAGCACACAGAGACTTCAGACAGAGTAGGAAGGGGAAAATATAGAGACGTTGTTGACAACGTGCTATAATTCTGGACATCTTACTATAAAGGAGTGCCTCTGCATCAAAGAAACTCTGCATTTTCGAAGCTAAATACGTATAGTCCATTGCTGCTACCCATGTGCATGAGAAGTCATCAGCTGAGCTGTTCTTAGGCTTTTTCCTCAACTGTGGAAATCTAATTTATTTAAGGTATTATCGTAGTCTTTTTCAACTCTTCGCAATAACCACAGAGTATTGGGGTTCTCTGGTCTCCTTTTGTTGTGCATCATTTATGTGTGACCCAAGCCCTCATTCTTCTCCCTCTTTCTGTGTCTCCCCTGCAGTTTATTTGCTTTGCTTTCCAAAAAGCACAACAAGGTTTTGGAGCAGGCAACACACTCTCTGAGAGGCAGACAGGGAGACAACACAGCCCTGCCAGACTATGTGAGTAAAACACAAGCATACTTTCTCCCACAATTATTAATAGTTGCCAAAATACGTCTGTTTGGGTGATGGAGATGAATTTGACACGGGTATTCGGGGCAGTTTAGCAAGTGTGAGCTTATATGTCTTAACAACAGAAACAGAATGATTCTTGAATTAAATTGTATAGCATTTAATTTTTGTTCGTTAAAAAAATGTCATCAAGTTCAGAGCTTTTTTGCATGAAAAAAGACATTTTGTGCATGAAAAAAGACATTTTTTGCATGAAATTTTTGCATTATGCATTAAGAAACTGGATAAAAGCTACATAATGGCATATTAGAGATACATTAATCTTATTACCCTTCCAGCTGCTGCTGTGGCGCAGCTCTGGGAGTTATTCATATATATTGTGTCCTGTCCTGATAAGTTATCTAAAGAGGGCTATTTTTTTTTTTTATAATTATGTGGTTCATGTTGTTTCTTTTGGACTTCCATGAGAAAACATGGCTCTTTCACAACATTCCTTTTAGAATTTTTTTTGTAATGCAAAAAAAATATTAAATTCACTGGAAAAAGATTAAAGAACACGAGGACTGTGCCTTAAACCAGACAGTTTTTCCTATTCTGTCATGAATTCCTATTAGTTGTAAAACCTCCCGTATTTAACAATTACAGAATTCTTATCGGAGTGTGGTCTGAGGTGTGATCATAACTGCCAACGAAAATATGTATTTTGCATCCTCAGAGCAGGGAGCAGTAATGTCAGAAAAGCAGACATTAAACAATTCATCCTCTTTTTGGAAGCTGAATTTTTATTACTAGATTGTCTAATTATATTTATATGTTTCTGTTTATGCATTTAGCATTAAGCTCCAAGTATTGATTCAGACTCTCCTCTTAACATTAGTGTTATGCTAACATTATGAAATGACCTGCAAGACACCAAATACAAATAACTGGGGCATTCTGTGAATCATTGACTAATACGTTTGTCTGTACCCTGTCTTAAGATTAATCTGCTCACATTAGTCTGGCTGTCTCATTTAATATATATGTTTTTAGTTAAATCTGTGTTCTTGAAAATCTTTTAGCATGTCTTTAGCATACCATATGCCTTTAGGTGTTGGAGATATACAAGCACATGCTCCTTCATCCATGTTGTGTCTTACATGAGGCCTCGTACAAAAAATGTCTTTATACACACACATTTAGAAAAAAAAACATTAAATGCAATTTTGCACGTTTGCTTTTATGCCAAACTCCTTCCGGGGTTGTTTTAATGCTCTGATTTATTTGCATCAAGACATAATTATACATTATACATTTCTTAAAATAGAAAGAAAAGAATCCAGCTTTATTATTGAAGTCTCTCACTGGAAGATATCATTCCAGTCAGTTCTTCCCACTGAAAAGATAGAGGGTAAATACACGGACAAAGAATAGGAGGTCAAAGTGTAGGGTCACCCATACAACAGCACTTCTGCATTAGACATCCATTTTCTCGCTCAAGGGCATGTGGCAACCTTTCAGCATATTTCGTGGGAATTGTGAAAGGGTTTCCTTTTCCTTGAAAAGTGTTTGACATCAGTCTGGGTCATAGACTTTCAAGACAGGCTTATGGCTTATGAACTCTTCTGATATAGCTGTTTTTCTTTGGCTTAGACTACACTAACCCTATGTGACATTGGTTCCCAGGTCTACTATCCACATCTAAAGGCCATCTTTAAGTTTTATTGACAACTTTTGAAGAAATGGAACATATTGTGTTGTTTTCCCACACATAACACATCACACACTCAGACATATTGACACACACATTTAGTTTAATTATGTCTTGGACATTGTATGACTTTTCAATAATCTGCTTTAATGATGTCTGGTTTAAATCTCATCTTAGTTGCTCCATCTGACCTCCATTTTTTTATTTTTGTAGTACACGCAAGTTGCCGGGGTGAAATATAAACACGTTTGATTGAAAATATATATGTTTGGTGGGATCACGTATCTGCAGCGTGGCCATGTGTCCTGAACCACACCTGCACAGTAGCCTGATGTGTACCTTCCCAGAATTGTAACCACATGCTGGGCCGACTGGTTCAATTGTTATGCAATGCATGACTTTGTTTGAAGTTAATGCTTCAGTGAGACTAAATAGGTTAAAGCTCCGTCCTTCTTACTCATCAGGCCAATACATTTACTAGTATTTTGCCCTAAGTAGGCTTGTTTTCACAACCGTTACATTGTGTGTACATACTCACTTTTCAAGAGAATTCTTGAGATTTACAGTCACAAGAGAATCTGCGTTGCCATGCCAACAACAACACTAAGACCAATCCCCTGTCCTGACAGCTACAGAGAGGTTTTAGGTGTGTACAACCGTTGACAATGTCAGCTTCAAGTCCAGGGCTCTGTGCCAGAGGAAGTCGTGAAAGATGGTGACAAAAGGATGCTCTTTTTGAAAGACGTGGCCCTTCAGAAAGCATTTCTACTCTAATGATTCTATGTGCATTCCTATAGTGCCAGCACAGGGTTGATGTTTGTTGTTAGTGTTGAAATTGTATGAGACAATTATTTTCAACATTGAGTATATTTGCTTACATTTGTGATTGTTTCCTGTGTAAAACTTCAGAACACGGTGAAAAATATTGCAGAGCTCCCTCAGAGCCCAATATAAAACATTCATATTATTAGTTTTATCATGGCATAATCCAGAAGATATCTTACATATTGTAACACAAAGGCATAATGACAGGTCGCTTCTTTTAATATCAAACAATGTCAAACGAATGTATTTCAAACTACAGAACTGAGCTACTTTACAGAGGAATGCGAGCTGTGTGGCAGAGAATAAGTGGATATACCTATTCTTCTCTGTGACTTTTTATAAGCTATTTTTTGTAGCCTTGAACATTTGAATACACTTGTATAAAAGGAAGATAAACATTAGCTGATGTGTCACTTATTTTCTCCCTTGAAAGACTGGGAAATCCATGAATTCTCATGCATATCCATTCATATCTGGAAAGCCACAATCGCCCCATGTTCTGGTTAAGGTCTGTCATTGGTTTGAGAGATGCGACATGTGACGGAAGCACTGCGGTCTCATCATGCACACTCCTTTGTTTCTTCCATCCCGACCCTCCTCTCCCCTTCTCAGAGCGTATCAGGCAGTTTAATTGAAAACAGCCCACTCCAACCTTGTTCACAAAGCCACACCTAAGAATTAGAGGTGTGGAAGTTTAGGGAACCATAGGGAGAGGCAAAAAGGAGCAAAATGTGAGGAGTAAAGAACAATTGAAAGACGAGAAGCAGGCAGGCAAGCAGGGGTGAGAAGAGAGGCGGGGGGTTTGGGGAGGGTTTAAGTGTGTTTTTGTGACAGGCATCTGGAAACAATGTAATCTGGCTGAGTCTGGCTCTGTAGAAAGAACTAATGTTTGTTTAATGTGGGATTGTCCGGTACATGTAATTGCCTCTTTACGAGGGAGAGACTGAGAGGAGGATATGAATAAACGGAGTCAAATGCTCTAAACTGTGGGCTAAAGCTGGGCACATTCTGCCTGTGTGTTAGCTTCTCCCTCTTTCTGTCTGTCTTCTTGTCTGATCCCCTCCCCTCTTCTTCATGTCTGTCTCATGGACTCTTACATGTATACACACTCAGCACACACCCTCTGTCCCTGACTGTGTTTGTGCTGCTGTATCTGGTTAGTGTCAGAGAAGAAAGAGTGAAGGGTTAGGGCCTCCTGAGCCCCTCAGGGAACATCTAGATGCTCTCAGTCAACGCAGAGGAGTTTCCATGAGGCAGCATGGTTGCTCTCTATAGCTTTAGGATATCTGATTATAGATTTTTCTTTGTTTTATGTCTGTTGAGATATGTTCACTAAAACTCGGTGTGTGCTTGTACGTACGAACAAATATTCAAATGCAGAGTTATCTGCGATGTTGGATTCCAGTTTGTTGCATTGTGTTTGTCTGTTTATGCTCCTAGCCAGTAGTAATAGCTATGTTACTTCTCCACCTCTTTGTGTGTTTACTGTTGCACATTTCTGGGAAGAGACTACAAGCACATACACACAAACACACACCGCCAGAAGCATGTCGGACCACCCTGCCTATGTGTTTATGTGTCCTGGTCGAGTCACAATGTGTGATCTCTTTTTGATAGGCAGAGGAGTTGCATGGATCAGCTTTGTAGCACCATTCCACTTGTTTAGGAGTAAAGCAGAGCCAGAGGATAAATCAGCGGATAATAAACATTATGTCTTCTGTTTATTATCAGAGCTTTCAGGAATTTGCCACTTTTCCTATGAGGCTAAATCCACTGTCATCCTTTAAAGCTTCTATAGCCTGTTGACAAGTAACAACTGTGTTGCTGCGGTCCGTTACTTTGTAGGCTAAGATCATGATGAATTGTTTCCATCCATCAAGCAGCATTTGAGGTATACTGAAAAGAGTTGGCTTTCCACTGAATTTTTCCTTTACTTTGTTATTTCCTACCAGATCGAGAGAGACGCACAGAATATCCACAGAGTACTTTACCTTTACATGTCTGTCACTTGTACAGGAATCATGATATTTACTAATAACAGTCCAATTTTTCTTTCACCCCTCTGTTTTATGTAGACATTTCTTTATTGTTTCGCAGTATGTAAACATTTACAAGATAATGTGATCACATACTAAGCAGACATGTTGAAATTAAGGCACAGTATTTGCCAATGGTACAGCTAACAGTTCTAATATTAATACAGCCTTTATAAATAGGTTATCAAATGTTTTCAAGGTATAGATCCTGGAAAAATCATAAGATCACAGCTGTTGAATTTTTCTTTTTACCATTTGTGAGTGAACCACAAATGGTAAACCCTAGTGAACCACCCTGAGTGAACCACTCACAAATGGGAATTTTGAACTTCACACTCAAACAACATGACATTTAACAACATGGAATATCACCCAGCTTTACGCTGACTTCCACCCGCTTTTAATTCCAGAAGGCTCACGCAGACTTTAGATGTGCA